TTCTCTGTAATTTGTATAGTTTCAAGAATTCTAATAAAGTACTAGCGTGACTGCTTAAGTTAAAAAAAAAAAAAAAAAAAAAAAAAAAAAAAAATAAATTAACCAGAAAAACAAAAACCTCTAGGCCCCTATTCAGTTTTTTTATTATCTTTAATAGCTAATGTTGTTTTATTATGTGTTATTATACAATGTAGTTTTTGATTAAGAAAAATATTTTTTTAACTAATATTAAATTATTCTCATCATATTCAATAAGGAGAGGTTCTAATTCAGCCATTATGAATAAAAAAACTTCTTGTTAATACTGTACTACATTCTCCCGTTCATGCACATCTATATATACATCCTTTTTCTATTCCTTATAACTCTACTCTAACTTTTTAAGCCATTCTAATGTAGTCTTTTTACTTATAGTTGTTTTTTTTTCAATGTCTAAAGATGGAAAAACTTTATTTTTTACAAATTCTTTTAGAACCTTGGGGTTTATACTAAACTTATTGCATTGTAAATATGACATTATCTATTTAAAAATAGAATCTTTGGTAAGCTACTAATAATTGGGAATTGCATTTAAAAATAAAAAAATTTATTTATTTTATTTTTTTTTATCTTCATTGATATTCTTTTATCATCAATAAGGCTTGCTATTTTCACATGCTTGTCATAATTCTCTTTTAGTAATTTTCACTACTTCAACCACCCATTACCCTATGTACAAATACATTTTGTTTTGTAAGCTCCCTAGCCTAATAACCTAGCAATTATTGCACTTGAATTTATTTTGGTTCAACTTTGATATCTTAAATGCAAATATTGCAATGCAGCTTGTAAACGAACCTTAGTTTCTTTATCAATTTGTTTACTGTCTTTTTCTAACATATTGTCTAATTCCTCAATTGCTCATTTTATACAGGCTTTATCATTGTTCACATTTATTTCCACTGATTCACTATTGAATCTACAGCATTATCAATTATTATTGTATTTTCATCCTCATCAATCATTATTGTATCTACAGCCTCATTAACCAAATTAGTTTTCATTAATTGCACTGCTGCATATGCAGCTAAAAATTTGAATAGATGTCAAAGCAACATTAAACCTTAAAGAATTGGTTAAAGATAAGTAGGAAGTAATAGATTTTGTATTTTGTGCTGCTTTTTTTAGTTCAGTTTTTTTTTGTCTTAATATTCTTCCATAATCACTATAATTATAAGTAGGTCTACTCACAACTTTCCAAGAATTTTTATTTCTAGCAGCTGCTAGTAAAACTTCAAAGTAACTATTAGCTTTTTCATCAATTTTTTTATTCACCCAAATATGATCATCAAGTTCTTCATCAACTGATTTATAATCTAATAAATTATTAGATTAATGCATTGTCTTATTTTTTTTAAATGCACATACTCAGCTTTTAATTTTCTTGTAGCCTTAAGATGGTATTTTCTTTTATTTGAAGAAGCATGATTAATATAGGTTAAATTCAATAAAAATTAAATCCACAATCTCTTTACACAATTTTGTTATAATGTCTTTGGTGTTTTTTTTTAAGGATTTATCGAGGAGGTTTTTTTTTCTTAGAAAAAAAAATAAGCTGGTCTACTTTATGGCTTTATAACTTTATAAATATCAGAGATTTATAGATATATATGACAGGTTTACTTTATGGCCTTATAAATACTAGACCTTTTGAATCTATATATTGTGGAACCCAAGTCCACAAAGTTCATGCTATGTTTTGCACTCACTTTATTATAATATTTTGCTTCTTATTCTAACACTCGCAAATGATTTCAAGAAAATAAAGTATAGGTTCGATCTTACAAATCGAACCTTATCATTATTTATTCATTTTTTTCATGCATTATTACATCACTTATTCATCACAATTGACTTTAAAATTCCATTGTCTTGAATAAACTTCTATATTGCAACTGCAATTATGTAGATCTAGCTAAATTATGATTTTACCTTTGTAATATCTAAAAAGCACTAAACTGGCACTAAATCTATATTTAACCAATTATATTCTAATCCTATATAACTGAATTGTAAAATTTAATTAGATAATTAATCAATCATATGATTTGTAACACTCTGGAATTTTGGCTATGAAAGTTACATGATGTCAGTTTTAGGCTTCTTGCACTATATATACTTTTTAAGCATAGACCAAGTTCTGACTATGTTCTTTTAAAGCAGAAATACTGCAATTATTTTTGCTCTTATTACAGCATCTAGAAATTATAATATTCATCTTTATACTAATTTACAATTAGTTATATCTAAATATAACAATTCTAACTTAACATTCTTTAAATTATTATTTATTAATATCTTATATTATTTATTTTAGTATATACTAATTAACTTTATAAACTCCTATAATATTCAATAAGTAGCTATACAACATAGTTGTGCAAACCCAGGAATAGAAGATAGATTTTTCAATAGAGTTGCAGATAAAACTTTTTTTATTATAAGTTCTTTGTTTGCTTTTATCATTATATTTAATTTTATCAATTTTAATAATTTTAGTATTTTTAATTCTAACCAGTTTGTTTAAGATAATTAACCAATCAAATTACATAGTTTTTAATATGTTTTTCATTTTAATACTGCTAGAAGACAAAAAAAAACTTCACTAAAAGAAGATTACAAACTAATAATTATAACAAAAAATTTATTATATAAAGTTAGAAAAACAAATAAATATGCATAAAGTAGGATAAATGTAATATTAGTTATAAAAATCTGAACCTATTAAAGAGTTAATAAGTAAATAAATTATTAGTGAACCTATTTTTATTTATTAATTATATTTTAAAAAGTTAATCTTTATTATTATATTTGTTATTAGATTTACAACACAACATTTAACTTATGTAATTAATAAAACAATAATAGTCATATATATATTAGTAACAATTCTATAATATTGTTATAGTCTGAAAAATGTATCTTTTAAAATTCCCTATTCATAGAGTAAATGAAAGTTTCTCATATAACATCAGATGAGATAGTACTCAAAAGAGGTGTTGGATTTGGGTAATTGTTACTTTATTAATTGTTATATGAGACTTGTTTTTATTACATTATAACTATATTACTTATATACTTTTTCTCAATATGCTATATTTATAAATTATACTGATTATGCTATATCTACTAATTATGCTCTATATGCTATATCTACTAATTATGTTAATTCACTATATCTACTAATTACACTCTATATGCTATATCTACTAATTATACTTAATATGCTGTATCTACTAATTATGCTCTATATACTATGAGCTATAATAATTACTATATATTATTACTTCATTATGCAATATAACTTAAATGAGATATCAACGATCCTATTTTGAATCGTAACATTTTTTCTCACTTTAATATATTTATTCTATAAATTTAAACCAGGCTTCAGAAATCTTTGGCCTTTATTTTTGCATTATGGTTATGTTAATACTCTTTGTACAATAGATTTGGGCAGATCTATAGGCTTCGAACAACCAAAATGCTCTCATTGTGGCTGTAAAGTAGTATTTTGTAATCACTTTTTGGTAAAAGGTCTGCTGCTTGGGATCTGTCTTGGTCAACATTTTGCCCAGATAAAATCATAGATTAGACTTTTAGTGTAGTTTTTGAGTTTAACATTCTTGAGCATTTGTTAATATGTCTTTATTACTTTGTCATCAAGGTCTTTAGTAGGATGATATGGTAGGAGCATAACAACTACATCTTGCAGGATGGTTGACAGTAGGTCGCTAATTATTCTATTGAGAGGGTCTATTTGTTTCAGGTTGGTATTATTATTTTTTATTATTATTTTTTTTTTGATTGGTTAATTTGTTTGTTACTTGCTTTCATTGTTTGCTGCCTAATGGTTTCTTCCTTTCACTTCCTGGATTCAGTTATTTAATATATTTACTGGGGTTTTTTTTCAATAGTTTAGCCATGGATTGGAGAAGTATTTTTCATTTTCTTCTTTTGTTGTTTTGTTGTTTCTGTCAGTACTAACTTTCTTCACTCTTTTTTTTTTGATTAAAAATTTATTTATTCAGTTTGAGCTTCTTTCATAGGCCTTTACTTTCTTTCTTTCTTTTTTTAAACACTTATGTCTCTTTCAATTGCTATCTCAGATGGTTTCAAGCTTCATGGTACTCTTTTAGTTGTGCTTTATTAATAAGAGATTTTACAACTTGTTCATCCAGAGTTCTTATTTTATAGGAACCATTGGCTAAAACCCTTTGCACAAAAAATAGGCCTTTCTATTTTTGGTTTAGCTTATGACTTCTAGACATTAAATGGCAGCTTCAAATAACAATACTTTGGTGCCAATATGGATTTCTAGTATAACCTTGATGTGTTGATCATAGTATGCCTTCTGTTTCAGTTGTGCAGATCGTACTTGTTTTACTGCTTTGTTTCATTAGATTGGTACCTGGTTTAGTAAATTAAAAGTTCTTTGGATGATTGTTCTGTTTAAGATATTAGAGAATGTAGGAGCAATTAAGCCTTTCTTCTGTAAACTAAATAAAATAGTGTCATTTTTATAGAACTTTGTTTTGCTGTGTGATATGCAAAAAGTATTAGTTGAATAAACTGGTCCCAGTTAGTGATGTTTTGAATTGTCTTTGCTATTAAATTGCATAATGTTTTATTGTACTGTTCAACAAGACCTTTACTTTGTGAATGGTAGGAGGTCAACAGTTGTTGTTTAATTTGAAACTTTTTTAATAATGCTTCAATTAATTTATTTCTAAAATGTGTGCCTCAATCAGATGACAGGTACATAGAGCAATTGTGTTTGCATATAATTTTTTCATAAACAAATTCAGCAACTGCAACAGCATTATCCTTCTTAATTGCTCTTGTCTTGGGCCATTTTGACATATAGTCAGTAGCAATAACTATATATCTTTTGTTTTTGGGAGTGATAGTTAGAGGTCATAAAATGTCAATCCTAACACGGTAAAATGGTGAGTCCACTAGAATCAGGTGAAGTGGTTCTTGAAGCTTGTTTTTCTTTTGTCATTGGCATGAGTTATTTATACAAACATATTACAGATGTTTTCAAACATCTGGGGCAAAAATAGTGTCTTTTTATTTTGTTAAACATAGCTGCTTGCCCCATATGACCTCCAGTTAGATTGTTGTGCACAAAAAATAGGATAGGCTCTATCTTAAACTTTTGTATTACCTTTAGCCAATTACCTTTTTTATGTCTATCCCTCTTATATAATGCATTTTCTTTCACCTTAAAGAACCTTGTTTTGGACTTTATTCTTGTTTGTTCTTGTTTATTCAGCTTAGGTGGTATGTATTGGTTGGTTATGAAATGTTTTAGGTGTTAATAATAGATAGAGTCCATGTTGCAAACTATATGCTAATTTGACTTTAAGCTAAGTACAATTATTTGGCATGGTTTTTTTTTTTTTTGAGATTTGATTAACTTATCTTTCTTGGGTTTTATTGTAATGCCAGGATACTGGTTACCTGATCTGAATTAAGTCCAGATTTGAGTATTGAAGATTTTTTTTTTTTTTTTTTTACACTAATTTTAACTTTTTAATTTGTACTTAAATACATGAGAGAGCATCAATATTTGAATGCTTTCATCCTGGTTGATGTTCAATAGTATAGTTATATAGTTATAAATATAGGATTCAACAGGCATGCCTTCTTTTTAATTTTGACAATTCCAACTACTTTAGGGCTAAGTAATCGATTACAACTGGGCCAAGATGACATCTAACCCTACTCCAAATGCATTAGTATATAAAAAGAATCTTCTGTCAAAGTCAGAATAACATAGTATAGGAGTGAAAATTAGATATTGTTTGAGGGTGTTGAATGCTAGTTGTTGTTGGGTAGTCCAGTTATAAGAGGTGTTTTTTTGTAATAGGTGATGTAATGGTTTTATGATTGTTGCAAAGTTTTTAATAAATTTATGATAGTATGATGATAACCCTAGAAAATCCTGTAATTGCCATATGTTTTTGGATACTAGAAAATTTTTGACTTTTTTTGTTTTTGCCCATCTGGCCGTATACCATCCTTACTGATAATGTGACTTCAAAAATGCAAGTTTTGAAGGAAAAACTGGCATTTTTTTAAATTTAACTTAAGACCTGCATCTCTAATTTTTTTAAATACTTGACTCAAATGATTAATATGTTTGGGTAGGATGTGAGAATAAATATTAATATTGTCGAGAAATACTGTGATGAATTTACCAGTAAATTCATAGAGAATTTTGTCTATTAGTCTTTAAAATATCATGGAAGTGTTACAAAGACCAAATGACATAACAGTGAACTCAAACATTTTAAATTTGGTCATAAATGTCATTTTTTCACAGTTTTCATCACTTATTTGAATTTACCAGTAGCCACTAGCAAGGTTGAGGCTACTAAACTATTAGGCACTGTCAAATACTTCTAGGAGGTCATTGATATAGGGAATAGAATATGCATACTTTTTTGTTACCTTGTTTAATCATCTATAGTCAGCACACATTCTTAATTTGTTATTTTTTTGGAGGACTAACACTATGGAGGATGCTCAAGAGCTAAATGATTCTCTAATTAATCCCTTCTTCTTTAGTTTATTCAACTCCTCATGTACAAATTTCTGTTTACTGATAGCCAAGCAATAAGGTGCTTGTTTAATTGATTCAATATTACTGGTCTTAATCACATGTCTCACAAGGTTGATTTGTCCAAGTTCTTTTAAACTATTTGCAAATAAGTTCTTATTTGCTTTAAACAATTGCTTTACATTTACTTTTACTGTACTTCTATATTCACACTATTCATTATTCTAACCAATTGGTCTTTTATAAGCAGTTTTTCATCCACAGGGACCTTCTTTTCAGTTGTGACTTCCTTTATTACAGCTAAACAGACTGCCAGGCTTTCTTCTTTAACATTCTCATTATCAATCCTTCTTTCTAACTTACTTTCTGACACTTTATCAACCAGAATACTATCTATAAATTAACTTTTAACTTCTTCTAACTCCTTACTTTGTTATCATCATTTTCATTACCATTGTGGTTACCTGACCTCATGTCCTTATTTATATACTCCTTCTGTTTTTTCTTGTCTGTATGCATTATAGGCACTTCAAACCTTCTTTCTAAATACCTAATTACTAGTTTTTGTTTATCAAAATTTATTGTCACTTGAGCTTTTTGGAACTTGTTAGTTTCTAGCAGCAAATTCTCATTAACAGATTCCAATACTTGTAGGTAGATGAGTATATTGATGCTATTTACATTGATATTCACTTTGGCTGTACTTCCTAACATACATTCTCTAGCACCTGTTGCTGTTATTACCACCATTTTTGATTCCTCTTCTATACTAATCTTAAGTTGATTAGCCAATAGTTTTGTTATAATACTTACGGCTGCACCAGTGTCTAATACAGCTACTACAGACTCATTAGTAGTGTACACATAATATTTTGCTATGATGGTTTATTGTTGAGGTTGAAGATTCACAAGGTTTGCTTCCTTAGTATGAGATAGTCTTTTGAGGGCTCTTGATAGGTTCTTTTTTTGATTGAAATATTGCAGAAGTTGTCCAAACATTGCATTGAACTTTGCTGCTAAAAGGTTATTAGCAATATTGTATAGTTTAATTTTATCTATAATGGATGGTTCTCGTTTATGGTAGGGGGTTGGTGGGACCTTTAGGAGGGGCCACTTTATTCATTATTTTATTGCTTTGGGATGAGAGTCCTGCAATAACTACTATAGATAGAGTGGAATATGATACTTTTCACTTTTTTCCTTGAGTCTCCCAACTATTTTCAGGATTTTTAGATAGTCAATCTCTTCTTTTTTGCTTCATATTGCCGGTAGGTGTCTTCAATATTGTATAATTCTTCTTCCTATACTATATCATCATTATCTTTCTCCATGTTATAATAGTTTATCCTTTTTGGCATAACTTAGTTAAAACATATATTCTTTTGTGCAGCAAAATTCTTGGTAGAGGTGCAAAATTGGGTAATGTGATTTTTTTAGTCACATTTATAGTACACAATATCAGGGTTTTGTAGTCAGTGATTTTCTTAATTAGTTTGGTCATACTTTCTTTGACTCTATTTTGTTGATTGTGCGATCAAGTTTGCCATATTGGCATAATTTATTGTTAACTCATTTATTCTTTTTACTAAGTTTTTCATATCATTCTTAATTTTTACAAGTGCTTGTTCACTGCTGCTTGTTGTCCATAGTAATTACCTGCTTCTACCTTTTGTGTATACATGATAGCATTATTCAGCATTTTTGGGGCCATCATAGTAATGAAGGTTGCCATTTTGCCACTCAAACTGCCAAGAAACATGCAAATAACATATGCAGGAGAGAGTTTTTTACTGAATTCAACTTTATGCAAAAGTCTTTTGAATTTTGCAGCATAAGAGTTGACTTTCTCTCCTGGTTTCTGTGTAAAGGTATTCAATTCTATTTGCCAACAGTGATGCCATTCAGGTGTTGCAAAAAATGTAAATAACAGATAGAAGAAGCTCTCAGTTAGTCAACTTTCCTTATTCTAATACTTAATTTTTCTTCTATTTTTACAATACCAATCTGCTACTAGATCACTAAGATAACCTGCAGCAATTGTAATCCTTCTTTCTTTGCTCCAATTGTTGGTTTCAGCAGCTTAATCAAATAACTTAAACCATTCTATAGGGTCTTTGTTTTTCCTTCTATTAAATTTAGAGATAGTTATAAGGTTTAGTTTCTTTTTCCTTGTTGTACCTGCATTGATTATCCTAATTATTGCATTTTTAAACATTTTGGTAAACTTATTGAGCAGCAGCTATAGCTGAGCCAAATCCATTTTGGTGGCTTCTTTTGTTGGTTGTGGGTTTGGTTCTACTTCCATGAGTTTTGAAGATGAGACTGTTTTTCTGAGTCCTGGTTTGCTAAAATTAAAAGTGTTTTTCTCATCTTTGTTGCTTCCTGAGTTCGTTGGTTAATTCACTTTTACTTTCTTTTCACTATTTATTTCTTATTTCATCATTTTTTTTTTGTATTATTAGGGTATGACACTGAAGCAGAAGGGCCTTATATAAATACTGTTTTGACATTGTCACATGGTTTGTTTGTAAAGAAGGAATCGATTAAGGCTTCAAGTTTCTTTATTAATCCAAAAATAAAGTCAGCTTTACTTTTTTTTTGATTGTTTCTGAGTACTTTTTGTAAAAGAGTTTTTCTATTTTATTGTTCTAGTTCTCCTTTTATATGTGCCTTAATATTGGCTTATGTTTATTATAATAATATTTATTATATGCTAATTTATTGTAACTTTAATTTTTTTTTTTTGTTTAATTGGAAGTGACATTTATATTGTTATATCCTTTTGTTTTTAACACAATGAACTTATTTTTTCAATCTTATTGTTCTATCATTTTTAAACTTTAAGCTTCAAGTTTATTTGTTGATTGTTATGAATATATTATTGAAAGCTTTACTTGTCTTAAGGTTACTTTGGCTTTTAGAATTTTTTCAATATTTACTTTTTACCAGTTTTAAAGTTGCTTTTACTTTAGAATTTTTCTGATATTCCTCTGTTATTAGTTTTAAGATCACTTTTACTTTTGAATTTTTCAGATATTTCTTTCTTATTATGTAATTGGTACATGTGTACAATAAATTCTTGGACCAATTGAGCTGAAAAGTATTTTATTATAATTTTTTTTATATTTTGTGAATTTTTATTATATTTTCTATGCTAAAAAAAATTTTTTTTTCACTTTTATAGGCACAATATTCTTGTAATCAAAAAAATTTTCCTTTATAATTCACAGCCTTTTTCTGCTGATTGTGATTGCCTTTGGCTAAAGTGTTACCAATAACAATTCTAGTATTACCACTAGTTTCTTGCTTTTTTAGTAAATATATCTGCTTAGTTAATTTTTTTGGTTTATATTTAACCTCTTTTCTAATTTAACTTTTCTTTTTTTGAATCAGAGGGGGAGAAAAGATTGGACAATCTTACAGTTATCACCAATTGTCATAGTCTGAAAAATGTATCTTCTAAAATTCCCTATTTATAGAGTAAACAAAAGTTTCTTGTGTAACTTCAGATGAGATAGTACTCAAAAGAGGCATTGGATTTGGGCAAATACTATGAGTAAGTGTTACTTTATTAATTGTTATACAAGACTTGTTTTTATTATATTATAACCACATTACTTATATACTTTTTCTCTATACATTATATTTACTAATTATGCTCTATATGCTATATCTACTAATTATACTGATTACACTATATTTACTAATTATGCTCTATATGCTATATCTACTAATTATATTGATTATACTATATCTACTAATTATGTTCTATGTACTATATCTACTAATTATACTTTATATACTGTATTTACTAATTATGCTCTATATACTATATGCTATAATAATTACTAAATATTATTACTTCATTATGCAATGTAACTTAAATAAGATATTGATGATCCTATTTTGGATCATGACAATATTAAGAATACATAAAATAAGAATATTAGTATATGCTTGTTGTTATAATAACATGCTAAATAATATAACAAAGTTCATTGATTTAGATCTTATGCATAATGTCTTAAACTTTTTGTTTTTGCTAGCAATTCCATAATTTAGAGCTTATATTAAAGTTGGCACTCAAAATGAAATCTACTCAAAACTAGTTTTAGGAAACTCTAATTCAAAACTCCAAAATCTGAAATTCTGAAACTATAATCTGAAACTCTAAAACTATAAATTTTTTAAAAATTATAATTTAAAAATACAATAAAAAAATTTAGATTAACAAAATAATAATAAATTAATCATTCTATTTATTTCAAATAGCTTAATAAATAGAATATTTTAGTATAGCGAGTAAGTATTATAATTACAGTTTTTATAATCCTTCAATTTGTGCAATTGCACAAAGTTTTTATTAATACTACTAAGCCATTTGTTACTATTGTTTTCTTAAATAATTTTTTGTTGCTGCATTCTGGATTCAAATAAATAATCAGAGTTATAATCTTCTGAAAGTGCATTAAAAATCAAATCTACAAGATTTTCTGATGCATTTATATTTTATTGATTAGTTTTTATAATTTATTTTGAATTTCATTCTTTTTGCATTTATTGTTAATAGGAATTTGGTTATAGCAATTAACATATATTTTTAGAATAGTATGTTCATTGAATTTCATACTTTTAATAATCATTTTTCACTTTAAATAATCAAAAAAAAAAACACTCACTAAATCAATAGTTAATATTTTGATAAATATTATTATGATAATCTAATCATAAACTAAGAATATTATATGATTTTCATAATTTTTTGGGTGGTGATTTTACACTTGTCTATATTAATCATGCTAAAATTAATAATTTATCAAATTCATTTAGTTAATTTTTCATAAGGTGTTCTAGGAATAATGATAACAGCTATAAATCTGAATTTAATAATTAAATTCGGATATAAATTATTAAATCAAGATTAAAGTCATTATAGTATTGACAATTTAGAGGTTAGGTTAGTTAATCCACTTTGTATATTTATCGTAAAGATATAATCTAAAACTATTTTGTATTATAAAAACTGGCTTAAACTAGGTTTGTATATATAAAAAATAGTTTAGATTATACTGATAATTTATTATTATTGATTTTATAAAAATTTATTATACCAATAGGATTTTGGAATTTCAGGTAAGGTTTTGGGTTTTAGATGAGGTTTTAGAGTTTCAGATAGGTTTCAGAAACTATAATCTGAAACTCAAACTTTTGAATTTGGCCAAAAAGGTTTTGGTAACCAACTCTAGCTTATATATAGTTAATATAACTAGTACTACAATAAATATTCACTTCTAAGTAAAGTTTTTGAGATAGCTAATTATTTTTAATTATTTTTGCATAATGAATATAGACATCCTTTTGAAGTTAGAAATAGCTTTTATAGTGATTTTTGTTAGTGAAACATTATGTTTTCAACAAGTACTTTAAACTGTATAAATAAATTATCTGAGCAATTGTTTTACATCATTTAATTAGACAAATTTTTACCTATAACATTGGAGTTAAACTCAGCATAATTGATGAAAGATCTTCTTATAATAATAACAGTATAAAAAACACAGAATCAAGCTTAATAACAGTAAGCAAGTTAGTAAAACAACAAATAGTTTAATTCTTAAGTATACAGTTTGAAAATATATAGATACCTTTGAATTATTAAACTAGGACAGATAAAATGAATGAATTTAGTTAGGTAAAATTTTATAAACTAATATAACTACAAGTTTAATTTAGTAGAATTTTCTTATTTGAAGAAATTTCTAGCTGCTAGGCAAAAAGATATAGGCTGTAGTTAGAAATAGGCATATGTAGAATTTTTAATATAATTCTAAAATTAGATTATCTGGCCAGCATTACTATAATATTTGGCTAGCATTAATATAATATCTAACCTGCATTAACATATTTAGCTAATTCTAATAATAAGAATTTATCTTCTTTGCTATTGGTATTATTTGCTTACATTACAAAAATATTCTTTATAATTAAGTTACTCTTTTAAATTAAATAACATATATAGTAATAATAATATTTGGAATCATCTTACAAAAATTGGATCAGATAAAACCTTTAACCAAGAATGTGCTTAATGTAATTACTGCTATTAAACCTTGCAAAAAATATGTAAAAATTTACTATTTTGATTGGCCAATAGCAACAACCAAAATTTTGGCAAAATTATTAGTAAAGAAATTATGACTATTTATTAAATAAAATTAGAGTTTAATGAATTATGCATAGAAATTTTGGAGAAACCATAATTAGGTACTATATATTCTTAAAATTATATAAAATCCATGTTACTAAAACTTTTGTAAAATTACATTTATTGTAAATTTGTAAAATGTAATTTTTAACCCTAAGTAAAATATGTTTCTAAGTTATTTTTACTATTACACAGACCCAAACCTTAAACAATTAAAAAATTAAACTCAAGTCAAAATTATACATAATACAGACTAAAATTTTGTAAATCATAGTTATTGGCTAATTAAAATTAAGGTTCAACATGCAGCACCTATATTTAATAAATCCTGTATATGTTTTTTTAAAAAACCATCTTTAGTTATAGTATATTAAAAACTCTCTATATATCTAATATTAACAATTGCATTCTCTAAGTAAAATTTCATTCTGAAAACTTGTACTTGGAGTTTGAAAGTTAGTCATCATAGTAAATTTTTGTGTTTGTTCTGTTATATGATTTTATTAGATTCAGATAAGGTCAAAAGTAATCTTTAGCCTTGACATAAGGTTATTCAATTTAGTGAGGCAGAAAATTTATATAATAATAATGTTTCAAAAATAACAAACAAAAACAGGTAAAAACAAGAATAATTCCTTGATTACAAATATTTAAAGTTATAATTTGTCAATAGTAATAGACAAAAAACCTTATAAAGTATAAATATAGATGAAGTTATGAGATTAGATCAACCAATCAGATGACTTTACTTAACTTGCTTATAAACTATTCATATTTCATATTCTATTCTTGGTATATTATTATTTAGAAAATATTTTTAATATTTGCATAAATTAATGATATAATGAATATATAATCTTTTTAGTATTATAATTCAATCATATTATAGTTCAGATCTAATTAGCTAGAAGATTTTATAGACTGAAATTAGTACATATATGTTTTAAAAGGCAAAGCCCTATGCAGCATACAAATATAG